TTCTTAGTCGGCTTTGAGGGCCTTAATATTTCCCAAAGTTTTCTTTGTGGAGAATTCATGGAGTATTTTCACTTTAAAGTGTAATGATTGCAAATTCGCCATGTGCTTTAGGTGTGCCACTATACCTGTTACGATACGCTACAAGCACGATGAGCATCTCCTCACTCTTTGTGGTGGTGAAGATTCTAGTGGTTCATATTGGTGCGAGAGATGTGAGAGAGTACAAATCGATCCAAAGAAATGGTTCTACACTTGCAATGAAAATTGTTGCACTACACTCCATGTTGATTGTATATTTGGGGATTCAAGCTATATCAAGATTGGTTTTAGCTTGGAAATAATAGCTGGGAAGTTAACATTTGCTTCCAACAACGGTAACTTTCGACCAGTTTGCGATCGATGTGGTGTTCGTTGCCTACATCGCGGATTTTTCAAAGAGGAAGATCTATGTTTTTGCTCAATCAAGTGTTTCTTTGAGCATTGCCAAGAATAAGTATCCGGAGATTTTTTTTGGGTGATAAGCTATTCTTCTACGAATATGCGTCATAGTGGGTGTAACTTATTTTTTTTAGCTAAGCTTTCTCTTTTACAAGTACGAATATAGATGTGTTTGCAACGCAGGGCATTTTCAAATCAATACGAAGACACATTATATTATTTTCATAGATCATTCGTTTTTGTTCTCGCTTGCACATCAAGATTCGTTTTGTCAATCCTACTAGTTTTGAGGTAGTATATTTACGTATCATCGTTCGGTTGGAATGTGTAACTATGTTAATGTTCCTTCCGTTAAAAATATATACATACAAAAATAAAATAAAATCTTACTTGATGCTGATGATTTGTAGATTTCCTAGTTCGGAGTTGATTTTAGATTCAACAAGACATGACGGCCTCTCTACTCTCTAGCCGCCACCGCCGCCGAGAGTTCCGGTTCACTCAACATGCTTGTTTCTCTACCTTCCGGGTAAAAGAAAACTCCCAAAATCATCCTCTGTTTCAGTATGACCGTTAATTAACGGTTTTTATAGCGCTGAGAAAGAAGTACAATATGGCGTTAACTTGCAAGGCAAGGAACTTTTACTGTTGCGTGGGACATTAGGAGATAACAAAGAGCCGATTTCCGATGTACGGAAGCAGGAGATTCTGATCCCCGACGATGTTGTAAATGGCTTTTTCATGGTATACTGTACATATAGATATACAAGATTTATTGGGTTACACGTTAGGTTACTTGAAGATGAAGTTTTTGTTTTTGTGAAGCTGTGCGAATACATATCCTTGGAGCTAGTTAAATTTCTTGGGATCAATCCCGACGAAGAAACAGAGGAAGTGAAGAATCCCACTGACACGCTCTGTTTACGCTGACATGCTCTGTTGAGCAGATTGGATCAGGTTCAATCTCGGCGATACCAAGGAAGTGTTTAGCAGATGATCATGATGATACGGCTTTAAAGGAGCTTTTGAGTGATATGAAAGAATCATTGGAGCGACACGGTCTTAAGATTTGGATGTATACACCGATGGTAAGCGGGTCTGAAAGATGATCAAATTCTCGGCTTTTTGATCAGGTGGATGATATAATAGATTGTTGGCTCGAGGAACGTTGTGGCTGCAGTTACAATAGGTAAGCTAAAGAGATTTCGAGATGGAAATCCGCGATATCCGAGCCACAAGAGATCTTATGTTAAGATACTTTTCAACATATTTGATCCATTATTACAAGAAAATTTTCAAATTTATGATCAAGTGGTTGTGCATTATAAGATTTTAGGTTATTAGCACAGAGTGGGGAGATCTTAGATCCTGTCATCTTCATGTAAACGCGGAAAGCTTTAATCCTGGAAGCAGAGTAAGAACGCATATCGATAAGTTAGGCTGTTTTTTGTACACAAGATAGTGTTTTGTGTTATATATGAGAATTTTAGACTTCCTCTATTTCAAAGTATTTGAGAAGACGGTGTCTGGAAGATACTTAGGAGAGATAGTAAGAAGAGTGTTGCTAAGAATGTCTAAAAAAATCCGCTGATACATTGCCTCTAAAGCTCAGAATTCCTTACATATTAGGATACGTATACTATATCCTTTAAGGCTATGATCTGCAACTATAGATCTCAAGGACAATACTGTGATAAATCTGGCATGTTTCAGGTCACCAGATATGGCCGCGATGCATCAAGATATATCCAAAGATCGGGAGAATTGTAGACAAAAAGCTCAAGGAAGTTTTTGGGGTAAGTTGCGTAGACCCATTTGTTTCTCAAGTTAGAAACTTTAATTACTTTATTTTTTGCGTTTGCCTTTATCTTTGTAACGCAACATATTAGTTTTTCGTAGAAAAAGTTACAATTTTTTAAGTATGTTAATTGATGCGAAAAGGTAAATTTAAACGCAAACATTCGTGTTGAAAACAAGCAAATCTTGAATCTTGGGTGAAGTACTCCCATATATGTATATATAACTTGTAGGTAATGGATTAAACTCTTGCGGCGAGAGAAGTCGTGGTTGAAGTGTGCGATTTAGTCTCGGAAAGAGCAGCTTGTGTGGCGGGAGCAGGAATAGTTGGGTTGATAAAGAAGTTAGTAAGGTTAGAGAAGAAGATGAGTATTGTGATGTTGACGGAGGATTGTATGATCATTATAGGATTTTTAGAAACTACCATCATATGGTTTGGAAATGCTCAGTGACGAGCTATCAGACCACCACGCGTCATCGAGCATTCTCATGGTGGATCCGGTGCTGGAGCTTTTTTCTTTGCGGCATGCCGCTGTGGAGGCAATCAAGATTCCAAAAGTGTCGAATCGTATTTGTAACAATTTTCACAATTCAACGGCTGGCCCTAGAAGAGGGTGATTTACGCATTAAACGTGGTATTATCAACGGCTGGCCCCAGGCACCGAGAAGATTATAGATCAAAAATCCGGAGCGATCATGTGCCGAACAGGGCTATAGTCTACAACTTGCTCATAAATTGAAATAGTTTTGTCGTGACTATCAATTGATTACTAATCAATTACAAGGTTTTGGTCATTCTTTAAGATTATAATCTATACAATTGTTAAGTACAAGTGGAGCCAATAATGAAGGCACATCGTGATCCCAACCAATTCAACAAGCTAGAGACCGTTGACTATACATATAGAACCAAAGAATCAAATAAATACCACGAACAAGATACTAAAGACTTAGTGAATGGAGAAAATTCCACACCAACAACGTAGTCTTGAATTTTTCGCGAGTGCAATAGTTACAAAGGTTTGCCCAATGCAAGTTCGGATCATCGACCAATCTCAACAATGTTAAGATAGGGAGAGAAAACATAAATTCATGTATTTTAGTTAATCCAAAATATTTTATATCCAATATGTTTAGTTACTAAAAAAATTGGAAAGTGGTTCAATCATGGACAACCCACCACATTATCTGTCCTAAATTTTTGGTTATCCAAAAAGAAATTGATGCAAAGTACTAAAAAAGCTATTGAATATAGGAAATCAAACGTTGAGATCCCAAATTACTAATTTAC